TTTTTTTAAATCTCTCTTTCGACTACTTGCCAATTGCACACTGTTTTGTTTGATTTATGTTACGCTAAGTTACGAAGAGTGTTTTATACGACATTAACATCAATCGTCTTATCCAAGAATACAAAAATTTGGCAGGAAAAAATAATACTTTTGTAAAAATTTATAATAATTTTATATGGTTTTAAAATTGTTGTATTTTAATTTTATGTTAGGTCATCGCTAAACCCCTCCTAAAGATTATTCCATCAGTAAAGGGTTAACAAACTACGTGTAAAACCCCGAAGGGTAAAAACAACACAAAACGCTAGATGTTGTGAGGTCAGTGCACGTCCGAATGACGTGGAAAGACACGTGACCGATGCTGTGGGAGTGTTTTTGAACAGATGCGACAATTCGGAAGTTAAAAATAATTATCGAAATTGGTTAAATACGTTTAGAATAATGAAACTTTAAAAGGTTACTGTAAGAGTGCTTAAAAATATTTTCTTCATTAATTAGATTTTGAATTCAGGGATGTGAAATAAACTATTTTATTAAATTTGCATGATTAATAATCAGTTTAATGTTTCAGGTATATGGACTTAAAATATTACAGTAAGATTTAAAGTATGTCTTAGTCTGTAGCTTTATCAGTCGTGATCTAAATTAAGATATAGTTATGATATAGGAGGCATCTAATTCTAAAGATATGTTTATATCATCCAATCGTAATATTAGTTCCTATCACCTTTCCCCCAAAACAAAACTTTTCGTGTTAATTTCCCGGAGAACTAAATGTCAAATTGTTCAAAGATGGATTCTCTGAAGATAAAAACGTTCAAATGTTTTCTATATGAAGATAAAGAAGGGCATTTATGCAGTCCTATAAAAAGCTTAATTAAAATTCTACACCGTAGTCTTAAAATTTATAAACTACAGTTTATCATTTTAGCACAAAAAACTTTTCATTAAATTCTTGCATTTAAACATAAGTCTAAATAACCTTAAGTTTTATCTAACCAAATTATCCATTTTATATGCTTTACGCCTTAAATTCACACGTCATAATCTGGTGTAATAAAAAGTATCATAACCGCCCTAAATCCTAAATTCTTCAAACATTTCGCCATAGGCTTAATTATATTTACTTAGACATAGCACATGTCATAGCTTGTCATATGAATGGTCAAACCGAACATACGAAATGGGGTCATCCATCATGATAGCTCTAAAACTACTAATTTTACACATTACATCATATCGTGTTTATAACATTCCCACGTATCAGATAGTTCATTGTCACCACTATATGAAACAATTTATCATTATTAAATTTATTTAAATTCGAGTGATTATAATCAGCTAATTATCATATATATGTAAGTCCTATATATTGATAATAATCAAGAATCGTTTTACAGAATTTTAAGAAAATTGAAATTTAAATAATGAAATTTTTCGTGACGCTTAAAATATATTTATCTTTTAATTTTTGGATAAATTTATCTGAAAAATTATGAAGAAGATTTATTTAATAATAAATATTATTAAGTTCTTTTTTCTTTTAGGATTTTATTCTTTTATAGCTACTATTTTTCGGCTATTATGGTAAGTCCAGATTAATAGCCGAAAAATATGTAGCTATAAAAGAATAAAATTCTTAGAATAATTTAAAATAATTAGAATTAATCATTGGTAAATGTATAAAAATAATGTTAAAACGTTAAAGGTTTTATTTTAAAAAGAGATAAAAGTTTGGAAATAACATTAAAAATCGAGTGAAATTTTAATAAATATATAATAAAATTTTAATAAATAAAATCGCGTGGAATTTATAAAGTATTTCAGAAAAATTTTGCATAAAATAATATTAAAGACTTATAATTACAAACGGAACAATTAATTTGCTGTTTTAATTGGATAATGTTTTTAAAATTTTTTTGCTTAAGATATTGAAAATAAATCGCAGAAAATATTCAGAAAAACGTTCTATGAAGTAAAAATATTCTTTAAAAATTTTGCTGGTACTGTATTTATCAAATAAATAAATAAAATGTTCCCAAAACAAACCGCGTGAAGTTTAAATAAATACTTTAAACTATAAAATTTATATAGATCTACTTCTTGTTAAAGAAAAAAAAAAGTTTATTAAGCCTTTATATCATCGAGAAAACAGGAAAATTTAATTTTCCTGTTTTCTCGATGATATAAATTACTTAGGCTATATTTTATAAAACCTTATAAAAAAAACCTTACGTCCTATATAAACTTAGTCTTCTAAAGCTTAAAAAATTCTTATAAAGTTAAAAATTAACATTACTTCCTATATTAAACCCAATTTTTCCTCTTATTCAAAGCAGCCTTGGGCAATATTTATATCTTATTAAATAATAGAAATTTGAAATTTCTTATTAATAATTCATGATAAAGTATTATTATTAATAATTAAATTTATTTTATTAAATGATAAATGTTATTTAAGTAATACATTATCAATTTAATTGCAAATATCTTCATTAAATTCAATTAGTCATGTAATGCATACAAAATAATGCTACATAATGATCACTCGAGCATATAATTTTAGGCTTTCATGACTGATAAACATGGACCTTATATATATACTTTTTTTTTCTATTATTAGCAGTTTCTTAAGGCTGTCGACTAGTTAATACGCTATTGTGAGGTCTTCAAAGATAAAGAAGAACGAGCGTATTTAATACATTAAAGTGAATAAATTACACGTTAAGATATTGATGAGGTGTATGAAAAAATTCTAGTTTTTAAAAGCGAAATTTTATAAAAATTTAAAGTATAGTGATGCAGATATTAAGTTAAGACCTAAAGGCATAATTTCTCCGCCTCTCTAACCTGGTTGTACTTGGTACAAACTCTTGCCCTTCAAGCAAGCATTCTGGTTCCACCCATCTTCCTCATTTGCAAATCTCCCACAAGGTAGTTTGGTAACCCGATTTGCACCCCTGTGGATAAATTTGATCATTTTTACATGAGAAAATTTAAGAAGGGGGTGATTAAGTGATCATGCTAGCATCGTAACATAACTGAACGACAGTATTGCCCTTTTTCACTACCTTAAAAAGTGATAGAAATAATTTTGGACAAGTATTAAATAGGCTAAAAATCCAGGACAGTAAAAACTTCAATCGAAAGAATAGAAAATTCTATAAAATAGATTCGAACTGAAGAAAGATTTTTTTTATTTATTGTGAAAAATAAACTTCTAGAAGAGCGACACATCGAAAGATGTCCTACATCACAAGATATTGACCTAATGAACTAAATTTAAATAAGAAAAATTTAACATTTTGAATTATAATTTACTTCATTTTTATTTAAAAAAATTGCAATTTTTCATTTAAAATGTTGATAATAATATACCAGTTAAACACATCCCATCACTCATTTAACATGATATTTCTCACTCAATATCGTGTTAGTTCAATCCATCACAAAATCGATTGAACAAAGATTACTTAGACTTACTTTTACAGCCGCAAAGTTGTTCTCTTAAAAGAAATAAGTATAATTCTATGTGCTTACTGTTGAGCACAACACTAATCATTGAAATAAAGCATTAATTATCATCAATATTTTGAATTATTAATGATGATTCTGAAAATGTAGACATTTAGTATTAATAAATATAACGTAACATACAAAACATTAAATAGAACTGTATACATAACATTATAAATGCAGTAAAGTATATTCAATTAAATTATACATAATAAACAATTATAATTATATGTGATTATATTATATAAAGCAAACATAATTCAGTTTAATTAAACCTTATTTTAAGTTTAATGCCATATTAAAATACATTTAAAATCCTATTTAAATAAAGTAAAATCTATATTAAAATATTATTTATTTACAGATTACGTGATTAACGTATCGCGATTTTCATATTTTTCTACTTAAAAGTGTAAAATAGTTTTAAAAAGTCTTAAAATCCTGGAAAAAAGCTTTAAAAAAACTTATAAGTTAGACAACCTACACAAAACTTGCGTTTGATTAACGAATGCGACACAAACATAATACATAAATATTTTCTCAGAGAAAAAGAAAGAAATATGATTCTGAAAGCAGATTATTGTCCTAGTAAATAAATAAAAAAAATATAAGTTATATCGAATAAACAATTAGGACGTGGTAATTGAGCAAGTTAAATCTTTTGATTTATTCGTGTTTTACACAGGAACCACAAAGAAATATCTTCCAAACTAGAAGTTAATAGCTTCATCTATACTCCATTAGCCACCAGCGTTGTGATCGTGACGTGTATCATTTTTCTTATCCGTTTGAGAAAACGTGACAATTCTAATGTAATTTTAAAACAAACATTTGCTAATTTAAGAAACTCGAAAAAACTTTACATATATATTTTATTCATTAATGATTACTCTGAGAAAATATTATCTTAAGTTCATCAACTTAGATACAAACTACGTAGATAACTCAGTTTATACTAAATAATTCAAAAATAACTGTTTAAATGTCTTCTGTAAAAGAAAAAATGTAGAATTCATATTAAAAATAAAGTATTTATAGGATCTATAAAAAGTTTTCTAAGCACAGTAGCAGGAATTTTGACTATTTTTTGTTTTTTTAATGAGATCTTCTATTATATTTACCAACTCTTGAAATCTAGCCTCTATAAGTGTATATAAATTGTTTTAAATATTTTTTTTTCAAAGAATTGAATGGATATTATTGTTGAGACGAACTTAATGAGCAGATGTCATCCAATAGAATTCTCTAATGATGTCTAATGATTATAATAATGGACGCAATTAGCAAAAGGTCATACTCCAGCATCAAAAACACGGACGGTGATCTTGTATAAAACTAGAAAAATAACTTATTATAAATAAAGCACAACCATCTGTTGAACTCAACGAACGTAAGAAAAATTGAAAACAATAGAAAATATAGGTTAGGTTTTAATATAAAATATATACATATATATATATAAGAAGTGTATTTACAATGGCGAACGTAAAGTATATAACTCAAATTTTCGAACAATAGTTTATAAATTAACTAAAATTTGTTCTGGTTAATGAGATTTGTAGTGAAAACTCGTGAATTATCTTAAACAAAACCAAAGATAATAATAGCTTTATCAATACTTGACCTTGAACACAGATTATTCCCTTAAAAATATATAAACCGTTTAAACACATTAGGATTTAGAGTAACTTTTATATTTTTTAGTAAAATTTCTTCGGATAATGAACTATTCATATTAATTAAACGATCTGTTTAATATAAATGAATACCGGAACTTATTGAAAGTATATTAGATGATTTTTAAATTTCCTCTTCGGCATCACTTAATATCTTTGATTTCATTTTTAATATTAAGTCTTAAAATACTAAAAATGTTAGTCGATGAGAGTTTAATGATTTATTGCTATCGAGAAATTTAATTTTTAATTTTAATGATTCTGTTTTTAAATATAGTAATAATTCTTGAAAGGATGAAATTAAAATAGGTAAAAACGTGTTCTAATTTATCTTGCTTGCCTGTTTTTCAGAAATACGTTTTTATATATAAAATATGCATTATTCTAGGTTAGACACAGTGTATAAAAATCAATTAAAATTATAGTTTATCGATAGATAAATTTTAAGTGATAATTTTATCATTTTCTCATAACGAGAACTCTGCTCTTTGATTCTTCCATAATGTGAGAGTATTTAGCATCGATGACAATTCTCAATCCTCTCGAACAGAAATAGAATTGTCTCCATTAATAAATGAAAATTTTTGATTAAATTCATATTTTTTTTATATGTTAAGGTTCAATAAATAAATAAGTAATAATAAGTTACTTTTGTATTATAAACTAATTTAGTTTACGGGAATATGAGAAATAAATTATCTTTTACGAAACAAATTAAATCAACATCAAATCTAATCAATATCACGCTTTGCACCAATCAAACTGTAATTTAATGATATAAATTATCAAGTGTTTGACAGGTTCAAAACTAGAAATATTTATCATAAAACTAAGAATTTAGATGCTAACAAATTACAAAAATTCTATTTTTATATTACGAATTGATTTATATGAGTAATTATAGTTACTTACCTAGCATTTTACTCAAGTCTGCATTATGTAAATCCGGATTTTCATCCGCGAGACGTTTCCTTTCTACTTTGGCCCATACCATGAAAGCATTCATAGGACGTCGAATTCGCTGTTCTTGCGTTCTCGATACCTTCTGTTGAACAGCGGGTGATGCCAAAGGCGATATGTCTGATCCAGAATCAGCACAATCCATGCCAAAATCTGTATTCCTCTTTCCAGCAACTTCACTCGTTTCGACTCCCGGAATCTCTTGGGATTCTTCGGAACTAGCAGCGGGTGGTGTAGCCCTATAACCAGGGGGATAAGCATAATACAAAGGTGAAGTAGAACCATAAGGCATGCTCTGATGTGCCGAATCCTGTTGTTGATGCGGTATAAAACGGTTTTGATAACCTAAGTCTGAAAAGCACATATCTGTTGGAGATTTTCTTATAGGCATGGAGTCCACTGCTTGTTTTGACATCAACGAATAATTTGATAATTCGGTCATATTTTGTTCAGCTGCCACGTAATTCGAAGTCATGGCTTGGGCTGAAACACAGTATCTGAATGCATCCAATGCACGTCGACAAACTATGTCCTTACGCGCCGGCAGCCTTCGTTACACTAGCACTCTCCAACACACGAGAGAATACGAGACATTCGTGCGAACTGGATCATGGGAAAAAGTGACGAAACGGAAGTTCTGACCAATCGCTGCGAGGGGCGTGTATGAGGTATTTGCTGTTCGAAGCAGCTTCCGTATTTTTGTACGAGGACGGGTTCGACTTGACCGAAAAATGGACATTTGATCAATTGTTCAACACCCAAATCTAGAAAATTGTTTTATAATTATCCCTAAACAATAATTTAACGTTAAATTGTTAATAAAACATATATACATACATATATATATATAAGAAGTGTATTTACAATGGCGAACGTAAAGTATATAACTCAAATTTTCGAACAATAGTTTATAAATTAACTAAAATTTGTAGNCCTTATATTTCTACTGATGAATCAGCTAACGAAGTATAATGTATGAAAAAAAGGAGAATTTATTTATTATGCTATAAAGGATACAGTACATACAGCCAGGGGCGCCGCTAGCTGTTTGAACGCCCGTGTGCAATACCGATTATGCCGCCCCCTGTTTAACTACGATTACCTATGCTGAGCTTGCAGAAAGGCTCTTTGCCGCCCCCTAGAGCATACAGTACAGACAAACCTTTGAAGCCCTCCTATGGCGCCCTCCCATGGCGCCCTTACCCGCGTACAGGATATTATTAAGAAGCTCTTATTGTTATCTCCTTATTACTATTAAGAAGCTTTTATCGTTATCTCTAATTACCAAAATGTAGGATTTCGCATTGCTAAGAGCAATATTATCACCAATTACCAATTACAGTGCGGATTACCACTTGAAAGGCACTAAGTGCAATTCAATTTGAGACCCCTCTAAATATTTTCGTTACACCTACACCCTACAGTATGCATTTTACGCGCACGTTTTTACTCTGATAGTGGTCCAAAAAAGTGAGACATAGGGAACATTGAAAAATAACCAATATAAAATTACAACTGCCTGGCTGTATTTAAAAGGTTACTGATGTTCAGATTGTATTAATTATGAAAATTGAAACTTATCGGTACAATAATTATTAAGTTTCAGTTTGGTAAAAATGTTAAAAACAAAAAATCTAGTAATTCACGAATATAAAAAAGAATTTACTGTATTTTCAAATTTATTACTGATTTTTATTTTGAGAGCTGAATTTTGAGGTCTCCTTGATTTATGAGGGTCCAGGCGCGCGCGCCTCGTGCGCCTGTGAAGAAATCCGCCACTGCATGTGACTTCCAAATTCTCAAATTTCAAACTTGTATGTAGATCTCATTACTTTAAATAATTTTATTCTGTGAGATTTTTTAGTTTAGCGTGCACTCGATTTAATCCAATTTCAGCAGCGAACAAATTGAGGCGCTTTATCGAAGTTTGACTGTATAATTTATTACAAATACATTGAAAAAAAATCATAACAAAACAGATGTGATGCTATTTTGAGATAATTTCTTTTATATTTAATTAAGTTATTAATTATCGATATAAATTGATTAAAAAGCTCGATATCTAAAAAAATAATGTAAAATTTTACATGTGAAACATTTATTTACTGATTCTATAAATAGTTCTCGAGAAAGAAAGGATAATTTTGAGTTAAAGTTTTGCTCGAGGCTAAAGAAAAATGAACACATGAAAAACAAAAAATTGTATACATAATCAATGAAAACTAAAAAAAAATTCTATACTAGATAGAAGACAAAATAGTAATTACTGTGAAAATCAGTTTACTTTATTATATTACCGAGCGGGTATAGTTAATTGTAGATACGTTCGAGAAAACCATGACTAATGTAGTAAATTATCCACTAACCAGTAATAACAGAGTAGTCTTTGTTGTTTCTTCTATAATTTCTTTGATTACTCGATGTCATAAAGATTCTTTCGTTCTCGATATTGTCTTACATAATTAATATGATTATTACGATGTTTTTATATATTTTCCTTTAATATATAATGAGAAGTTTACGTGTATCCGGCCGAAAAATAAAATTGAAAATCCATTAGTAGCTAAAACATTTTCGCGAATAGTTTTGGTTTATATGAACAAAAAGCAAAATATGTAATGAAAGAAAAAGTATTTTTAATTAATAGATATTTTTAATATCTATTAATTAAAAATAAACAATAATTATATCTATATATTACAGTTAATTATGCTAATGTGAAGGTTTCTATCGCTGCTTATAACTTTTCAAATGCTTAGAACAGAATCTTATTAATTGATAAATGTAGAATAATTCTTATGTTATATAAATTCATATAATTTGCAATAATTTTAAAATCCAAGATAATTTTAAACTGTCATCGAAACTAGTTGTAACAGGTTCAGCTTCCATTTTACTGGATTTTTTATTTAAAAAAATGTGTTATAAATTTATTTGAAGACTTTATTATAAGATTTGGAAGAAGAAGTAGATAAAATTACATTTATTTTTAAGCATAGAATTTCATATAGCCTACGAAGAAAATAATTTATAATAAAATCCATTAAGTTTGATATATAACTACATGCGTCAAGTAAACTTTATTTTTACTTGATGAATATTTTATATAAAAAATTATCAAGTAAAAGTAAATTGTAGGTAATTAAGTAAAATAATGACATTAATTATAATATCATTAATTTATTTAATTACTGTTTTTATGCTTCCATAAATGAATTTCCGATTTATTGAAAAACCAGAATTAATGTAAATGATTTTTTTTAGTTTGTTTTTTGAATTATTCAAAACTTGTATTACTTATATATCAAACCTGATGAATTTTATTATAATTAGGCCTATTTACGTCTACATTTAATTCCATACTTAAAATAAATAGAATACTTAAATGTTTCTTCTGAATTTTATAATAAATTTATAATATATAGGCCTAAATCTTACTTAGATAACTAATAAAACTAAAAAGAAATATATTCTTGAAGAATTTAATTTTTGGATAAATTAAAATAGTTCAAATTAAAATTAACATATACAGTATATTATATTTATGATAATTTTCATTTAAATATAATAACACAGATCTTAAAGTTTTCGTCCCTGCATGCTCATTTTCCTAATCATTTTGTAGCTCATCATAATTTTTGGATACATAACACCAGTGAACAGTGGTCATGGGTTCGATCGTGATCCAACGAGCTGGCCATGTGAAGTTTTCCGGGTTTTCTTCACATGTCAATTGCTTAAGTATGGACCAGTTTCCCATAAAAAGTTTTTTTCCCTTATTCTACCATTCACTTTCATATACACGTTTTAATCGCTTTCAAGCTCGATATATCCGCAAGTTAGATTAATAAAAAATTTATCATTAAAATTTAAAAATCTGCTTTTTCATTAAACATTTTAGAACTTATTAAAGTTTCGTATTCTTAAATAAATTAATTAAATGTTTTTAAAAATTATTTTATCTTCTCCTCCTCAGAATTAGCTTATAAGATGTTTGTAAATAGCAAACGTTTAACAGTAATTTTTATTTTATTTATAATTATTTAAAAATATACGATTTTTTTACATTTATTTTTGTTTTCTTTAAATGTTTTAACATATTTTAAAAATTTTACAAACTCATTTATGTTATAAACTAATTTATTTTCATGGCAACTTTTTTAATTCAGAATATTATTTCATTTCTTCTTTCTTCTTGTTGTAAAATATAAAATTATTATTTTTTATTTTCTAAAATAAAACTAATTTGAATTTGTTTCTATTTGATAAAAATAATAATTTATACAATCGTTTTTATAAATTTTTATAAAATTAATTTTTAATGATAATAAATATTTTTATATTAATACTGTAGTAAATTTATGATGGGTAATTTCATTCATAAAATATTTAATACGTTTTTAATTATCATATTGATCATTCCGTATACTTGTACTATATATGAAATTTATGTATATATGTATATATATATATATGTAATATATGTAGAATTTAATCGGAATTTAACTGTTCTTTTTAATTTAAAAATTTGATGAACATTTAAATAAGTTTATTTTTTAAAAGCTTCAAAAATTTTAATAAATAAAAATTAATTTAATTTTTTAGTAATGACACATAATCAATGATGATGAATTTTCATATAATTAGCACCTATTTATAATTATATGTTTAAAAATTTTGCTATTACATTATAGAATAAAATGTATAAACCACGAAAATAATTAATATTGCTGTTACTTTCCGGTTTCATAAAACGCTGTTTAATAAATTCTATAATAAAAATTACATATCCAATTTCGAATTTTAAACTTATACATTCGAGTTTAAAAAATAAAATATAAAAAATAATTTTTCATTTATATAAAACTTAAAAACATACTTAAATTATTTTTATTACAATTATTCTTATCGGCGCTTTAATTTATTATATTATCAAACGATTTGTGATTATTGAAATCGTAATGAAACGATCGTGTTTTGTTTTAGTATATGAAAAAGCCTTCGGGTATCAACACCATTTATCATTCCTTTCCATTGATACAGATGACAATCGAGAGTATAGACGACCATCCACACACTTACTTAGTTATCAACGATGTAATAAAAACTCACAACAACTTTATACAAGTATCAATACCCCGGGCATTTCGCAAAACATATCGACATTCGAATGAAAACGTAATATTCTACTTTATTATCATAGCTTATAAGTTTATATTACGTGTCTTTGCACTCCTGTTTATAGTAGAAAACAGTTTCATAGTTCTAACTCTATATTTTTCTACATGATAATTACCTTTATAATTGTACATAATTATCGATTCTGTTTATATCGATGTATGTTGATTTCACTTCGATGTTTTTTACAGTTTGTTAATTTTTCTGGTTTTTTTATTATTATGACGATTATAATGTTTATTTTATAATAAAAAAATACTATATATGTATGCAACTCAATGACCTACCACAGACATATTTACTTTGAAGCTTCGTTCGGTTTATAGATTATAGAGTATGTTCTTATGAAACAAGCTGACACTTAAGTCTTTCGATGCTATTATCAACTCTGTGTTCACGAATTGCTATGTGAAACTTATGTTTAAGAAAATTAATACGTGCAAGTTCTCTGAAGTTAAAAAAAACAGGTTCATTATCATAACGACTTTATGAAAAATTGCTATTAAAAAGTAGCTCGA